TTTGGGGTCTGAATGAGCCCCCGTAGAGAACTTTTGTGGGCCTCTGCAAAAATCCCAATTAAAAGGGATTTTAAACTCTTTTTAAGGGTTAAATGGGAGTGATTCCCCTGGGAGCAGCTCCAAGATGGTCAACCAAGACCCCAGAAGAGCAGGAATGACCCCAGGAGAGCAGGAATGACCCCCAGGAGAGCAGGAATGACCCCAGGAAAGCAGGAATGACCCCGGGAGAGCCCCCTGTAGAGAACTTCCACAGGCCTCTGCAAAGTCTCAGTTAAAAGGGGTTTAAACCCTTTTCAAGGGTGAAAAGGGAGGGAAGATTCCCCCTGGAGCAGCTCCAGCACCTCCAAGGTGCCCGAGCGAGCCCCCAGGATCTCTCAGGTCACCCCACACCCAAGGAGCCCCCGGGGGTGGATCCAGGACCCCCCACCCACCCCACGAGCCACGGGGCCCCCCAGGTCACCTTGGAAGTAGTCACATTTGCCATCCATGAAGATGTAGTTCATGAGCACCACGCTGAACATGCTGGCGTAGACGTGCAGGTCGCTGAACACCAGCGTGAAGTTGGAGGGCTGTGGGATTTTGGGATGAGCGGGATTTTGGGACAAGTGGGATTTTGGGATGAGCGGGATTTTGGGACAAGCAGGATGTCCCCAGCCCCGGTGGGTGGGTGTGGGGGGGTCTGTGTGTCACCCCTGAACCCCTCCCCGTGCCACCCACCAGGACAGGGGGCATCAGACCCACTGTGAGACACCAGGAGCGGGACCGTCCCCTCCCCGTGTCCCCCCGTGTCCCCCCATGTCCCCAGCCCCGCGGGGGGACGTCCCCCGGGGTCTGCACTCACGTAGAAGATGGTGAAGAGCACGAGGATGGGGATCTGGAGCATGCAGACCTGCACGGCGATGCAGCTCCCGATCTCGATGCTGGTGGGGGAAGGAGGACTCGGGAGCCGCCCTCGGAGCGAGGGGAACCCACCCCGGGGGGAAGCGGCCACGCCACGTGGCCCAGCCCGCTCTGACCCCGCTTTTTGGGCGGCCCTGAGCCCCCTCCAGGGCAGGTCGGCAAGATCTGACCCGCCAGGGGCCGGGCAGCCCACCCAAGGCAGCGGGAGGGACCGGGAGAGGGCAGGGGCAGGACCCCAGAACTCCTCCCTGGAGCCACCTCACCTGAGGCTCAGGTTGTTCTGGAGGGCGAACTGGATGCCGTTGACAATCTCTGGCAGCTCAGGCACCATGGCCAGCACGGTGACACCGATGAAGTACTGCAGGGCACAGGGGACACCGGCCTGCTCTGACCACAGCCCGCAGCTCCCCCGCACGAGCAGCAGCTCAGCACCTTCTCCCCGCGGCTTCTGGGGCTCAAACCCCACCCCCAGGGCGGGTCCTCACCCCTGGCTGGGGTGTCCTGGTCCCCAGGGCCACCCAAGCCCGTGTCCCCGCCGTCCCCAGGCTCGTCTCACCTGGGAGATGGTGGAGTTGGTGAGGATGGGGCTGATGTGCTCCGTGGCCAGGTCGGCACAGGCCGACATGCACAGCGTGGAGAGCAGCAGAATAACCAGGGCTCGCCAGCGGGACCAGTGCACCACGGGGCTGGGGTGGTGGCCTGGCACTGGGGGGGACAGAGACACACTGGGACCAGTGACAGTGGGACCAGGGACAGTGGCACCAGGGACACACTGGGACCAGTGCACCACGGGGCTGGGGTGGTGGCCTGGCACTGGGGGGGACAGAGACACACACTGGGACCAGGGACAGTGGGACCAGGGACACAGTGGGACCATTGCACCACAGCACTGGGGTGGTGTCCTGGCACTGGGGAGGGACAGGGACACACACTGGGATGAGGGACAGTGGGACCAGTGCACCACAGCACTGGGGTGGTGGCCTGGCACTGGGGAGGGACAGAGACACACACTGGGACCAGTGACAGTGGCACCAGTGCACCACGGGGCTGTGGTGGTGTCCTGGCACTGAGGAGG